ATGCTAATGCCAAATTCTGGAGACATGAGTCTGTCTACAGATTAATGGAAAATATGAATTAATATTTGCTTCCAGCTAATTGCCCAGCTCATATACTGCACAGCACAGCAAAGCATCATTCGATCTTGAAAACTCTGTAACAAAAGTTTTCAATCACTTCTTCTCATCTACCAAAAAATATTTTGCAATTACAGGACATATTTCATTATCAGTCTGGAATACCAGAAACTTTTGAGTCAGGTCCCTCAAAGACTATTATTTGTACACGCTACATTAAAAAAAAAAAAAAAGGCATTAGCTATTTTTGAAGAATTAAAAGTTATCATAGATTATGACTACATTTTTGCAATTTTCTGAGTTGCAAATCTCTGGTTTTTTTAAACAGTGATGAAGATATGGATGAAGAGATACTTTTATCATTTGGACATTAATAGTGCTAAAAATCACGATTCAGCCTTAATATTAGAAAAATCTTGCATATGCTCAAATTTATGGTAAAATACGTTAACTGAAAGGCAAGCTATAACAATTTTTTTTTGCATAAATGTAACTCCAATTTCAAAACACATCAGCAGAAAGCAGAAAAATGGAGAGCGACTGGTTCAGCGGTATGCGGCAGCTCAACTATCTGACAGTCACATTTTTATTTCAGCACACAAATTAACTTACTCCAAGTCTCTTCCACTTTCTCTGAAAAATATTGAAAAGTTTGCTTTTCATGAGATCATTAGCATTTTGAAGGGGCTGAGCTTGACAAAACACGTGTATATCAGAAATATTGCTTAGTAAAAGATTTAGTAAAATTTATATAGATAACTCAAGAGCCAGGAGTCTTGTATCAGATAGTCATTAATGTTCCATCTTTTAATCCAGCTTCCTCATTTGTTAAGTTTAGTGGAATGTTTTATGCAAATTCCAAATACAATTCAACAGTGAAGAGATTCCCATTTGGACAGATTGCACAAACTAGCTAAAAATTGATAATGTTAAGGATCAGCTTTAAATTAAGTCTAATTTCAAATGTTTATATAGAGTTCGCATTGCTTTAAAACATAAAAGTCTACTGTAATGTATTAGAGTTAATAAACACCATGTTAAACACTGTATTAAAACTTTAAAGAAATGGGTATGTCTGAGAAAAACACCTGATAAGCTAAATTGCAGGTCCCTACAATACAGTTCCGTGCCTTATTTTTCACATTGGGATCCCCTACTTCCATCCAGACCAGCAGGCCCCCTGAGTTCTGGTTTTTGTTCATAAAGTAAAGCCTTTGAAGCCATAATGCGAGAAAATCAAACTCTGGCTATGCTCTTTTCTTTTTGGGGGGGACAGGGACAGGGACGAGGGGAGAAGAACAGTTAACAACATCTATATATTGTTTATATTTCTTCTCTCCATGTTATTAAGAGAGGGGAAAAGAGTAGAAATCTCAGAGAAATGTTGCAAACAAACATTTCTGAAAGGGTCGGCACCTGCAGAACAAAAATATCTCACAGTATCTCACATCCTCTGGTGCTGGACGTTACAAAAAGCCCGACGGAGACAGCCACAGCTTCTACCCGAGAGCAGAGTTTCAGGATCCATCGGCAGCCATTCAGGACGCCTGCGCGCGACCATCCAGTCCAGGAAGGGCCGTAGGAAGGCAGCGCCCAAGCAGAGGTATGGCCTGTGCCCACAGGCTGCATGCTGAAGAAATGTGTCATCCACCTTCAGTCTACAGTAACTTAACTGAAAAGTCCAGTCAATAATTTGCAGCACAGATTATTACAGAGTGCTGATTCATTGTGAGAGAAGCAAGACAGGATATCAGTTATATATATATTTTTTTATCCCAGTCAAGGGACTCATTTTACGAGGGATATCGTCTCATCAATTATTTTCTGTGGCTCAAAGTCTTGAAACTTCATTGCAACAAGTCAGGGGGCTTCTACTCTACGGCAATGTATATGTCTGAAATGAGTAAATCCATCTGCAAAAGAAGATCACTGTGCCTTAAACCATCTAAGCTGTACTCGAAGATATGCAGTTCTTTGATGCCTTCTATTTTATTTTGTTACTACTAATGAAATATCACAGATGCAATTATTTTAATACCTGAAAACTGTCACAGTATGAAACACCGTATAATCCATGTTAATTATAAATACAAACCGTGAAAGGTCAGCATGCCATCTGATGTGTCTGTCTTGTGGCTGTTTCTTAGTTTTCTTTCACAAAATGGTAAATGCAATCAGGTCTCCTATGCATTACCTGCAAAAATCTACTTAAATACTGTTCAAGCAAGGGTGGCAGCTCTGTGGAGGTCAACCCACCGCAAGACCACTCTGAAATACAGTTTCTGAGTGTACAAAATTTCACGAGGCCTCTGCAACCACTCATGTTCTTACAAAGTTGTTTACCTTCTCCTTGGTTTGACAGTGTTTTAAAATGTAATTCTGCAACTAGCAAAGCAGAGACTATTCAAATCAGCTCCTTGACATGCCTACTAAAAATGCACAAACTGCCTTTTTATCTTTTTGGCAAACACAAACATTCAACTTCTTTCCTTTTTCAGTCATAACAAAGACTATTTATGATAGCCCAAGCCCTTCTGATATGTGTAGGAAGTATTTACACCAGTATACAAACTTCCACAATTTCAGCTTTTCAAATACTTTTATCTAGAAATAGTTCTGTAATAATGAACATTTTGTTTTCATCATTCATTAAAAAAAAACACATCACAAACATGAAAAGATATCACAAAAGTGGCTATCAAAAAGTAATTTTCATTCAATTTAGGTAGAATAGATTCCCTCAGGTGAACAGAAATCTAATTTAAATTACTTCTGTTTTTTACTATTTGTAAATTAAATTACACTGAACTGTGGATTTCAGGGAAAATTGGATTTAGTTTAATCAGCCTTGTCTGAACTATGACAATTGTGCTTTTTCAAGTTCTGGAAAAGCATGTCCACTAGGGGAACTGGATAAGGTCTGATGTCTAAAGGGAAGGTATGAAGGCTTAAGAGTTTTAAAGAGCTTGGGCCATTTAACTGGAAAATAAACTCAAGGTTGCTAGGTGGGGAGGGAGCTGGAGGTGGTGGCGTGGGCATGGACACGGGACCAAAACAATATCCAGAACCAAATGGTTGCGGAAGCAAAACTGCTGAAGCAAACAATCAAGAACAGTATGAAGCTGCACAGTAACTTTCAATTCATTTGAGATTCAAAACAGAAAATGATTGCTTGTATTTTACTACATACTAAAAATGTGATTCAGTTTCTACTGGCACGTGTGAAAGAGGGAAGGTTTTGACAGCTGTCAGAAATAAAACAAATAGGAGACTCTGGTTCTGAATGCTGAATATTGTAGCTCTTCCCAGAGTTCAGCAAAAGTTCAGATTCCAAAAGTCCAGTCAAACTGGAACGTCTTTATGGATAGGAGCATTCATTTGCTGGAAAAAAAAAAAAATGATGTGGCTCTTCTGCCCTGCAAAATTCAGGGTTAACTATACAGAAGAGGCCTTTATATTTTCAAACTTTTTTCAAGACTGTTGGATAGAATGAAACATAGAAGTACAGCAGAAGATGTGACTGCTAACATGACAAAAGGGACAGAACTTCTGTTATATGTCAGCTGTGTAGCATTGCAACATTATGCTTTAGCTAAAAGCATAAAGCATTCAGTTTAATATTTCATTTAAAGTCATTCTGGGTTCAGTCTATGCTCCATTATTGTGGTAAGTATTTAATAGGCTTTCAACCCCCCCCAACCCAAAATCCAACAACCCAGCTTACAAGTCTTTCATCAAGATCGCTGGAGAATAAGAATATATCCTTTTGTTTTACGCTTTTCTGAAGCACACACTTGGAAGCTTTACTTTTGCGTGCAGACCCTTTCCTGCAGCCTTATCTGTTTTGAAGAGCCAAGAGAAGTTCCTGGCAACGCTGCCAGCTCCGCCCGCGCTGGAGGAGGGCACGGACAGGGACAGGGACAGGGACAAGGCAGGGCTGGGCCGGGCCAGGG